TGAATAACGTTTACAGGAAAAGGTAACTAGTCTCAGTATTACCATTAAAGTAATTTTAAAGCTTCCTCTTCATAGAACATTTTTTCCTGTCACTTATTGTTTTTGGTGAAATGACTCTGGTCAGCCACGTAACTTGTCTGCCTATAAATGTCTATTTTTCACTTGCTACATCTACCCAGTCAATGGCCCAGATAAAACTATGTCATAAATTTAAAGGTTTTCATATGTAAACCTAGACTCTTTTAGAACTCAATTATCTTCATAGGGTAATACAGGTTCCTTATTCATTAACTGGCTTCTAATTTTAATTTCCAGTTCATTGCTGATTCAAGTGTTTTCCATAGATTTCCTCCATTTGGTTCAACAGGTGGTTTTCTGTACATTCCTAGTATCCAGCTTCACCCAGCAACAAAATTCAGTTGTCTGTGCATGGAAACAGCAGCTTTCCAGAATCACAGCGTCCCTGGCGTTAAGGGAACACAGGAAATGCAGACTACCACAATTTAATCAACAAAAGGGAGAGAAGATGCATCACTCTGCAATTGGAGTACGCTCAACAATCTTAATAAAGCATTACGCCACTACAAAAGATTGCTATACCACTACCTGCCCAATCTCAGTTCCTTGGAAGTATCCATATGTAAGCCGCTGCTCAGTTTATTTATTCATATCTTGATTAAAATCATTACTGAGAATATTTTCTAAGGTTATTTATCATCAGTTCCTAAATGTAAATTGATAGCAGAGAAAGTCCGACAGACTTACGGATTTTTCATGTAGGTAATATCCTATTATGAAAAAACAGTTGTCTATCACAAAGCCACTGCTGGCTGGTTATAAGAAGTAGTACAGAAATTCTCTTTACACTAAGTTTTATTAAAAATGTGCTGCAATTACTTAAAACAACTCAGAGAGGACAATAATTTAGACACTAATAAATTACAAAGAAATTCTCTTGGTGTTAAGAATACAAATAAAATATAACCTGATTATTATACGGTACAAGGATAGAAGAACAGAGAAGATAAAAAAGCAAAATCTCATAATTTTAATAGGTATGGATTATACCTCCAACTAGGTGATGACAGGGCGAAAATGTAGCACCGCTGCCCACAATGTCTCATGTTCAAATTAGGAGCCCGGATGGGAAGGGATCAGTTAGCTTAAGCACTCATATGAGCATCCTGACAGGGGCTTTGTCTTGCTAATGTTTCTACTTAAAAAAATTTGGTTCACATTCTTAAAAAATATATATACTTTATTACTCTTTTTTTTCTTGGTTTATTCTCTAGTAGAAGTCACACAACTTTTTATGAATGCGCTTGTTTTGCAGGACCTTCACAAGTGAAATGTAAGCAGCTCCGGTCTGCAAAGGACTTTGCAGGAAGAAGACACCGAACAGCAGCTTGGAGCTCGCGTTCAGTCCAGGCTTTTGAAAGCTTAAAGCAGAACCTTAGTGATTAGAGGTATTGCTGTCCTCCTCTGTTCACTAAACTCTTTCATACTTAGAGACTCAAGATAAAAAAAATAGCGTCTTTGCTTTTATTTTAAGATGAGCTATCTTTACTATGCATGTTTATCTCTAACATGTTTTCCTGGAAAAATACTATTGAAAGAAAATGTAAAGCATTATAGAGTTGTCTGAATGAAGTTTTTTTTTTTTTTAACCCCATGTTGCAAAACCTTTTCATACTATACAAATGCTATAGGCCTTCACATTTATTCTTCTCCTTACACATTATATGTGATATATGAAAAGATTCTCGATTTAGAAATGTCAAAGATGTATTTTT